ATAATAAAAACATATTTTTATCATGAAAATATGCTGTTATATATATATATGTGTGTGTGTGTGTGTGTGTATAGTTATAGTTTCAAAATTAATTTTCATTAATATTTAATTATATACTAATAAAGTAAAAGTAGTGCATTGACATGTGTGCAATGTTGACCGTGTCATGTATTCTGGGATAGAGGGAGTATTAGATAATCTTCAAATTTACTCACAAAAGTAAAAGTGCCATGTGAGATCTTGTTTGATTCGTCTCAACGAATACTCTATTAATATTCAATCATTATAATTTTAAAAAGGATGTAATGAAAGTTATTAATAGTCAAATAGGTGTATTGACAAACGTGAAAAAGTCAAAACATATCCAATAAAAAGGGACGAAGGGAGTATATACTTTAGATATAGGGTAATTTTGTGAAAATTAAGAAAATTTTACCAACAACTACCATTATAATGACTATTTTTGAGAACAACTACCATTTATTTATTTTATTTAAAAAAAAATCTACCACAAAAATCTTGAGTAACAAAACCACATTTAATTTCTTGGCAATAATCTCCAATTAAGGGAGTTGAGAAATCGGCCGTTTCGGCGACGAGGGAAGGGAGGAGGGGCAGTTTCATCGACCTGAGAAGGGATAGGCTGTTTTGGGGATTGGGGAAGGGGGGTGGTTTCGATGGTGTAAGTGGGTCGCCCGAGTGGTTTTAGGGGTAGGGAGGAGCCGACCGGCTGTTATCGGTTATTAGGGGAGGCGGCTGGTCGAATTTCGATGGGGCTGGGGGTTGGGGCTAAGGGGAGGAAGGATGCTGTCTGACTGGGAAGGGTTTTTAATTATTATTTTTCTTTTTTTACAAAAAAATTTGGAGCAATTATGTTGTGACACATCACACATTGCTTTTACAAAATAAAAATCACCCTTTCTTTAGGTCACTGGTAAATCGACCTAGTGGAAGAAAATCCACCCAAAACTTCATAGTGCTCCCGAATAAATGTAAGTTGCGATTATTGAGAGTAAATCGATGAAAGTTCGAATTAATAAATTAAAGTGAATTTTTCTAAATAAATAAAACTTAGATTTTGGAAGCGAAGACAAGTCGAATCCAGGGTTAATTGGAGGATGAAATAGAGTCGTTTGACTCTTGGAATTGCCCTTTTTAATCTCTTTAGTTTTAATAAAAATGTGTTCCTTTAATGGAAGTGGTGTTACTTATGTTTGTTGGGAGATGGAGCAAAATTTTAATTTCAGGTTTACATAAACCCTTGTTGTTAAACCCATTTGTATGTGATGACGGTAAAAGTTATTACAACATCATGACCTTGTATGTGAAAGGAATGGTGTCCTTCCAACAAGTGTATTCTTCCGATAGAGGGTTCAGAATTATTACGGAGCTAATTCTTCAGTAAGTTCAAGTGATCGGAATGCCTAGGTGGAGGCCGCTTCCAATCAGTAATATCAATGTACAATTGATGTTACAGCTTAATCTTAACTGAACCCTTCGGGTCGAACCCAGTCGAATCACCGATCCGAGACGACGAATTAATCCGAAAGGATTTAATGAGTCAGCAGAGTTTTACGAATACAGACGTCGGAAATCGAGCCTAGGGCGTCGAGACCGAGCGTTGCAAAATCACAAAGCGACAAGTATGAACATAGCCCTAGCACCGCACTGGCCTAGCCATGTGGATGCTAGGCTAGTTCAGGCTAGCATGCACCTAGCATGGCTAGGCGCAAGCCTAAGCACACTAGGTGTGCTAGGCGCGCCATCGCAGCCTAGGTGCACCATCGCAGCCTAGGCGCGGCCTGGCAGCCTATCGCAAGCAATAGGCGCACCAGGCGCACCGAGCAACCCATCGCAGCTATCGCAGCCCTAGCATGAGGCTGGGCACCATCGCTGCCCATCGCAGGCACCAGGCGCACCATCGCTGGCACTGGTGTTGCGTGCATGCGTGCCTGGCATGGCAGCACCATCGCTGGCACCAAGTGCTAGCATGGGTGCTTGGCTAGCATTGGCGCAGCATGCGTGCTGGCTTGTGTGCTAGCCTTTGCATGGCAGCACCAAGCAGCGCACCATGCATGTGCGAGGGCCTGGGCGCCAGCATATTGCTAGGCCACGCACAGCAGCCCAGCATCACCACGCACCTAGGCTGCTGTGTGATGCGTGGGTGTGCGTGTGGTGCGAGGCCAATGCACGTTGTGCTTGACTAGTGCGCATGGTGCGTAGCTAGTGCATGTGCGAGAGATGCTGCGAAGGTGTGTGCGTATGGTGCGAGACAAAAGGGGGCCAGCATGCGTGGCTCGCTAGCAGCACGCATGCTGGATGCGCGAGGTGTGTGCGTATGTGCGTGGGATGCTGGGCCAGCGCCAGCACGCACCAGCGCCAAGCATCGCCCAGCACTAAGCAGCACTGCCTGGCTGGGATGCGAAGGCTGCTAGGTGGGCTGGTGCTAGCTGGCTGGGCATGCTGGCAGTGCCAGCTGGCTGCCAGCCCAGCAGCATGCTTGAGGCGGTTTTGTGAGGAGAGTGGGGACCAAGGCTTAAAGCCATGCCTTGGGGAGCAAGGCAATGGTCCCCCCCAAGGTACATGGTCCTCACCCAACTCTCTCTCTCCCCTTGACACTTGTTGCATTGTGATTGGATTTATTTATTAATTTATTTTAGAAATAAATTAATTAGCAAAATTATTCATTCTCCCACATTGGTTGAGGAATGAAGTTCAAGGGTTCATTTCCCTATAAATACCAAGCTTGGGTATTGGGAAATGAACAACCTTGAGTGGAATTAAAAAGGCAACTCTAAGTAAGAGTAAACCTTTGATTCGTAAAACTCATAGTTATTTTGTCCGGGTCTTGACTAACCTTCAGGACTTAGGACGCTCGGGTCGGGTCGAGGGTACGATCTGTCAGAGATCTCGTGTTTTCGGGATTTTGAAGTAAGAGCTCTTTGGGAGCGAAGCACGCGACAAAGGTATAATCCTTGTTCTTAATCTTGTTTGATTAAGTTTAATATGCTTGTTAATTGTTTTAATTAAGGGACGGGTCTTGGTGGGTTTCCTTCCACGTAGTGTCGGGTCACTACGAAACCCTACAGTATGAGAATATATACTCCTTCCGTCCCACAATATAGTTTCTGTTTTCCTATTTTAGAGAACCAAAATGTTGTTTTCGTTTCTATTTTTGGATAGTATGTAAAGACCATTATACCCTTATTTTTTTACTTTATTCATTGAACTTCCTAATTTATCCTTAACTTATCCACTTGCATTGTAATTTTTTCACTTTCTCTCTCAAACTTTTGTCTATAATTGTACTTTTCACCCTTTTTCCCTTAAATCATCCACTTGCCTTGTACTTTTGTCTAGCTTTTTTCCACTTTTAATGTACTTCTTCCACTTCTCCTCCCATTTCTTAAATACCATGAAAAAAACACAATAGGAACTATATTATGGGATGGAGAGAGTATAAGATATGGTTTTGTCAGATTGGAAAGAAATGTGATTGACATGTATGAAGCATAGATCTCAAGAGGATTTTATCCATTTGAAATATTGGGGTCCCTTAGGGTAAGACATACTGATTTTGGGCTATTTCCGTCATTTCAGCAATATTTATAGACTTTTAATTATATGTTAGAAAATAACTTGTACAACACGAAACATCATCATCAACTTCCCTCGTTCTATCAATAATCCCATCGCATGTTTAAATGTATGTTGGTAAGCCTTATTTGCGTTATCCTCACTCATTGTAATAGCTTAAAGGTAAATGTCGTTAATGACCTTAATTGGTATTGTGTAAGGGCTTCTTATGCCAATAGTAACTTATGTTACTTTACTGTCCTTTTGTTTGTTATAAACTCAGTTTAATTAATGTAATTTCAGCTGTTTTTTATTTAAAAAAAAAATCTAAAAAACTTACAAAAAATTGGTAAAAACTTTGGTGTGTGAAAATATTTAAAAATATTTTTAAAAGGTTTACTTGAAACCCTTAGAGCATAAATATCAAAGAGAATAGCTTTGTCCTCTCAAACATTCTCTCTCCTTACCTTATTTTGACACCTCATACTCTCTTTCATCCACCTCATTTCTCACTATCTCTTTCCTCTCTTCCATCCTCTTCCATTTATTTTTCCCACGTCAAATAGTATCCTCATATATTTTATACTATAAATATGGCCCCACCTTCAAATTTTATCTTTGCAAAAGATTATTTTTTATTGATTTCTTTAATGATAAGGTCTAATAATAATAATAATAATAATAATAATAATAATAATAAATAATAATAATAATAATAATAATAATTAGGATTCGATAATTAGCATGCATAATAAAAATTACCATACTTTACCAATATTTTGATACAATAACACATGAAATTAGGAATAAAAACACTAATTGATACACTAAAGTACAACAAATACAAGAAATTAAAGACAAATAACTAATTATCCTTACCGATATTAGTATACTCAAATCTTGCCCACAAATGTTCTACCAAATTCATATTTCTTCCATAATTATGATTATTTTCATCCATTACAAAAGAAAATTATAAAAAGAGAGGAAAGAGAGGAAGGAGTGAAAAAGATGAAAAATTAAAGTGCATAAAAAATGGCCAAAATTAGGTTCATTTTATAGAGAAAAAAAAAATACAACCGTTGGTAAAATTAGTTTTTTAAAATATGTTACCGTTGTGATTAATTACCGTTATAATTTTTTTTGAACTAGTAAAATTATGTAACAAAAAAACAAATAAAAGGTTGACACTTCATCTTCTTGGCACAAAGGACGAGGTGCTTAATCCTACACCAGAGGAGGATTGTTCCTCGAGGATCCTCTACATTACCCAACATCAAAGAGGACTATTTCAAATCAGCAAAAACCCCCCACACAAGAGGACATATATCCTCTTTGATATTTATGCTCTTATAAAGCCCACCTGTCTCGTAATTAGACGATCATATAAAGACCCGTCCCATTTATTTATCAGACGGATCTAACCGATATTATAACTATGGCGGGTTATGGCTTTTCAAAGGCCTCATTCTTACCTCTCTCAGTTATTTCATTGAAGCGCACTCAACGTTCTCCATTGAAGCGTAGTTGACGTTCTCCGATGAATCTAGTATCCCCCATTGAAGCAGCTTCTAAGGTAAGTTGTTTGTTGTTGTTATCATCATATCAATTTCACAATCTAGGGTTTATATTTGATATAATCTAATTTAATCATCAGTGCTTTAATATAGATTGTTAATGATGGATATGAAACTTCTCCATTATAAATAGGCGAAGGTTCTTTGACTCTGAATAGATGCTTTAAAAGCTTGTTGGCCTGATTCAAACAGCTGAAGCGAATATGCTTGGGAAGTGAAGGGACTTGTGTTGAATTTGAAATATTCTACACTATTATAGTTGAGATAGAATTTTTTCGGGGCTGCAAATAGGAGGTCTTGAGAACTAGAATAAGTATGAAAAGAGAGAGCTATGGACTATTGTTAGGGATGAGATTGGAATTGAATGTAGGAAATAATGTAGCTTGAGGTGCTTGTTAGTTTTTATGCAAAAGTCTATATTCTCTTATGAATAAAATTAAAATAATTAAAGTAAATGATAACCGGAAGATTCTATGGAGAAAAGAGCTGACGCCCACTAAGACTAATATATCCACAATCACATTCCAAGCGGCAATCAAACGAGGTTGTGAATGTGAGATGCCAGAGAATTGATATGCTGGACTAAGGCTAGGTCTGCTATCATTCCCTCTTGGTTTAGTTCCATTAATCACAGAATGGATAGAGAAGCAAATCAATAGCATCCATAACATCTTAGATGATTATTAGGAGTTTTGCTAAAAAGAACATCTTTGTGTAGTATTTCCTTTTCAACTTCTTTGGAAACTTGTTGATCTGATAAGCTAACGTTAAGATACAATTCCCTAAAAATAGAACAAGAAACTGAAAAAGAAGGGCTCTACAACTCTTCATGTTTCTTCTAGCCTTTTAGGAGATTGTTTATGCTTTTCGTGTAACTACTCCAGTCTGTTGGCTTTATCTCATGTATAGTCCTCTTTTGAGCGAAACTTCTACACCTTCATCAAGCGATTCTTGAGGGTTGTCTAACTCTAGCCAAAAACCAATTCTTAACTTTTTGAATAAAACCTTTTGCCGAAAGCATTTTCTTTAAGATTACACAAATGAGTCCATGTTAACCTTACTAAATCTGTGATTGGGAGGAATCTGTTAGAATCTATTATATAATTTAGCATGATTTGATTTTCAAACATCCAATTGAACAATCTCAATGCATGCGTGGAATGTATTACTCCTTTGTGAGAAAGGTAATTTGTGTTTTTTTAGCTTTTGGTTTAACATACCAAGAAAAATTTAAGGGGAAACCTGTAGTCCTCATCTGTAATCTCTTCTTTTATTCACAGATCACTATGAGAAATTCAGAATTGCATGTTACTTGTAGAGTAGCTGTTAGGCTAGTCACACAACATTCAAGCTATCAACTTCTATTTATATATATTTTTTAAGTGTTACACTTGCCTTAGTCTGCTAATTTTTTTTTAAAGTGTTGCACTTCCAATTTTGATAAACTAATACTCCCTCTGTTTTATAATGTTAGTCCCATTTAGAATTTTTTGACTATTAAAAGTTAGAGGGAATCTTCTAAATTTTTCTTTATATATAAGAACAAACATAGTCATTCGAAGTCTAGTTTTATTCGTCTTGAGGAGTACATTATTAATATCTAATTTTTATAATTTTTGCTAGTGTGAGATTAAAGATATTTGCAGTTAAAGATTTGCATCGATAATGGGACTAACATTATGAAACGGAGAGAGTACAATTTAATACTTTATCTCTCTCGGTACATGGTCCCCACTTATTTTTATTTTATTTATTTATCTCCTTTCACATCCGTACTTTACATTTTCTTATACCTCAAGGACCCCCCCCCCCCCTTATTACTTATTACAATAAAGTCCATTAAACCTTAGGTGAAGCATGCAAGATGTACCAACCTAAGGTGTACTTGATGTTTCCTTCATCTTACACAATTTTTTTAGGAACTTTTAAATTAAGCAGGGAGTAATAGCTTGTTTTCACTAATATTTACATAATTTGGCTGAAATCATCACTCTTAACATTTTGTACATTGTACTTCAGGGGCTAAAGAGTTTGAAGCCTATCCCGAAACTTCTGTATTCTTTGATATGTTCATCTTCAAGTTATGAAGTTTGTCAAGACACTTGTAACAACAGTGCTTCTGAAAATGGTCTCAATCTCAAACCTGAAGATATGATTACTCTCTCCAGTATCTTGTTTAAAGAACTTCATAAAAGGCTACTATCTAGCTCAGATTATCCATCCATGGATCAAGATGTTGGATTGGATGTAACGAAGTGTAATGGGAATGATTCAAGGGAAGAATTGCTTCTGCTTCTAAGATGCTGTGTTCTCTTGGTGAGGTTGCATCCATATGATCAAATGCTTACAGAGCAATTTAAGGCTGCTGTTGCTTTACTGCACAGATTGTCTTATCAAGGGATATTGACTTCAAAAACAAGAGGATCTATCGGGTTTAGTAAACTGAATACTTCTCAGAGTGCTTATGGTAGCTGCACAAAATCTTACGCTCCTGATCTCAAATCCAAATCATCTAAATTATACATGCGTTTTTTACAACAAATGTTGGAGGTAAATATACAAAACTCTATGATATTCACAAAGCTGTATGAGTTGCTAGCTAAGAAGTGGGTTTGTGAAATATGAGCATGTATAATTGATGTTGATTTAGGTGTTTAAGATGGCCAATACTGTTGACTTTCAATATCTTGTGTTGTCATTCATCGCTTGCAATTTCAGGTTGTCTAAAATACTTTCTTTTGTTAAAAGTTTATTTACTGCTCTTACCACCATTAATAATCCTTGTAGTTATCACTCCTTACACTTCTTTCTATTTGTCATGCTCATTACTTTTATGCATATTGATGGATTTCATTAATATTAGTTTAAATTGCACTGATAATGTAAATTAACAATATATATTGTATGGATAGTATACTATAAAGTGGCAATTAATATTGCATTGGTGGTGTTGGAATACAAACTGGAAAATTAGACTAAAATGCCTTAAAAATGTTACAAAATGGATTTATTAGAAGGGACAATTTCTAGGACAGGAATTTGAAAGAGCTTTTTTTAAATACTGTAGTCTGTAGACTGTGCTTGTTTGCTGAATGTATTAGATTACAATTTATGGATTTTGACCATCATAAATTCTACCAATGAGGCTTTCTCTACCAGTCTCAAGCCTAGATAAAGGAAGAGGGTTGCAGTAGGGTTTTGTCAGCCAGCCTAAAAGTCTTCGCCACATCTCATGATCATGAACCTTAAAGAGGGGTTGAGAGCACCTTAGCATGTATGAGTTGATTTGACAAATTTTGAAGTGCTTGTACTAACTCAGTCTTCTGATTTTTAAACTGTTAATCATACCATAATTGTATTATCATAAGAACAATGTCCGTGTTATTCCTTATTTAGTTCCAACTTGGAGAACTTTCCCTTTCTGTAAAAAATTAAATCATGCTTAACATTATGTTTCCGTTCCTAAATTTCAAGCTGTCAACTCACACATTCTATTACTATGAAGTATGAATGAATCTGGCTATTCCAGATTTTTTGTACAACAATTTATTTTCTGGTTTATGTGCATGCTTAATTATGTTTTATGGAATAATATAAGTGTTCAGCTAATTTCATGTACTTTATTTACCATGTAACATTTTCTGGTTGGCCAAAGTTATTCTGTCAGAAACTATATTTTATATAAGATGTATGCCCTTCCAGTTTAAGGCCCTTATTTCCACTTATTTCAGGGTTAATATGTTCAGATAAGTTTAGATAAGAGTTAATAAGTTTAGATAAGATAAGTTTAGGAAAAATAAGTTCAGATAAGTTGTGATAAGGGTTAATCAGGGCTACCCAAGTTTAATTTATAACTAAAATAAGTTCTAATAAGGGCTAATAAGTTCAGATATGATCAGATAAGTTCATATATGATCAGATAAGTTCAGATAAGTAAAAATTAGGTGAATAGAACCCACCCTAAGTATACCTCATCATCAACTTGTTCTCCATGATACTGCCACCCACTTCCCTATCTTAAGGTAATGAGTGTTTGCAGCATCGCAGAATCTAATATGGAGTTCTCTTTTCAGGTTTATTTGGATGAGATTTTTGCAGACAGACCATTCCGAGAGTGTATTGCAATATCAGACTCTATATCTTCCACCTGCCAAAATCTGGCTGTGTGGTCTTCTATAAATATTGAGAGTGTTCTTGAAATTGGTGCTGCTCATTTTCTTTTGTCATTTTCTGTAGAAGGCGTCCTTCAAACTTTTATTGAAAGTCTAATTTGGACAGAAAAACCTTTTCTTTCTTCTCCTGAAGTGAGCTTGGCTGTGGCATCCTCATTAATTAATCACCCTGTCATGATGTCTGCTCCAATACCTCTCCTTTCACATCTAATATCTTTGGTGTCCGAAGTTATCGGCATATGGGTCAGTCCAGAGAAGGTAGTGCCAGAGTTTAGATGTGTGAATATATATCTATCTACGTTTAATGATTCAGTCAATTTGTACTGTGAACACATGTCTAAGTTGATGACTGGAAGTAGCCCAGGGAGGATCGTCCAACGACATTTTGAGTCTCATTTCCACTCAGTGGTCTATGATAAAATTAACTTCATGCTCGTTGATTTGGATAATGCATGGAGAGGACGAAGCACCATGATGTTTAACATGACAATATCTAGCATGGCAATCGATGCCATATCTTACATAGAGACAAATATCTATATTGTTGATAAAACTTACAGAGATGATTTGCTTTCCTTTCTTAGCTCATTGATAGCAAGACTTATTTCAGTTGAAGTCGATGAAGTTCTATTGCAAAATTTCAAGGAAATGGCTATGCAAGATTTTTGCCTGCTTGCTTCAATATTAAAATTGATGAGTTGCTCTTTGTTGCAAGCTACTCGCTGCTGTAATGAGAATTTGAGTTGTTTAATATCATTATTGAAGAGAAAAGATGTACTTCCATGTCACAGCTCTCGAGCTGATCTGATGAGTTCCTTTGCACAGTACAATCTCCATTTACCAGTTCAAGTTCAACAGTTCATAATTAATGCTTTGAAACCATATGTATCAGAAGACGAAGAATATGAGTTGTTTGTTCATTTTTCTAGCCTTTTATCATTAAGCATAGTGAGTGGATTGCACATACTGGTGCGTGGATGCTTATTTTTCATGCTGGTTCTCGTGAATACTTTAGCTCTGAGATCATCATCAATTAAATCAGGAACAGAGTCACCTCTATGTGTATTTTCACAGACCACTGTCATTAGCCCTGTTGAAATTCCTCCTAAAACAGGTTTTTCTGATATATCTCGAAAGGTAAATGCATGTTGTTTCTATTAATTGTATTGCTAGTATGTGTGTGTATGTAATTTGATCTTCTGAATAATGACAGTTTTGTGTACCACAGAAATGCAGCCTCAGAGTTGCATCAAACTTTCGAAGAGAAAGACGGATATTGTTCAGGTATATGATCTATGACTTAGTGCCTATTTGAAAAGCTAAACATTTAACTGTTCTGTAATACTTATATATAATCTCCTGTAATGTTTATGGTTTTACCTTTTGGCTATGAATGTTTGATGGAGTTTTTTTGTTATAAATCATATTTGTTCATAAACCTAATTTAGTCGGCAAAAGCCTATATTAACTAAAGTTGTCAGGTCCAGGAATCTCTATTGGGGTGACATTATTAATATAGGGATTAGGGAGTATCAAGTATGTGGGAAACCTATATCATAATCTAACAAAATTGTCAACTCCATGGATGTCTTTTAACCATAAAATTAAAAGGCTATATGGCCTTGAAAGGTGTTTTCTGCTTGCACCCTCCTCCATAAGCTAGATGTTTCACAGTTTCGGCTGTTTTTCTGTAATTAATCCCCTACACCACTCTATGGTAAAATGATCTCTACAATTAGCAATTCTGAGCCAAAAGACCAAGGTGGTTGTTTTTGTGGAAGCCAGGATAGGAAGCTGTGGGCAATTTGTATCATACATCAGCATTATATGTAACTTGGGACTACCATTTTCTGAACTGTAAACATCTTTTAAGAGTGGTTTATACATTCAGGTATATATTAAGGGTTTGAAGAGATGAACTAGCAAATGAATGCTTAGCTGCCTATATTGAGGCCTTCTCCAGTTTATTATTCACTTTCTTTTTTTCTTCCCCCCCCCTCCCTCCTCTTCTAGAATTTTGGAATTTGGGCATCTTTACCGAGTGTGATGACTCATTCTATCAATTTCAGTTCATCAGCATTTAGAGACAATATGTGTATCTTCGTTTATTCCTAAGTTTATATGCTGTGGCAACTTGAAATTTTGCGATAATTCCTGCTAGTATTCTTCCGCCATGACTTTGATGTGATAATTTTTGAACCCAAGTATTAGTTGTATTATGCTGTATGAATAACGGGGACATTTTCTGTAAACCTTAGGCTCAATGTTTGGTGACTTCTCTTTGAATTAGAAATTTAGAAGCTTGTGCAAAATAATGTTTTTCTTTCTTGCGCTGCTTTCATAAGATTAGAAAGATTTATCGTATTCCTTCTACCCTCTTCTTCCTTGCTTGTTTTAGAGTTAGAGGGATGTTGATATTTTCTGCATTTCTGTTGTGTTTACTATCTCCTGTAAATCAAGAAGCAAGTGTAAAATACAGAAGTAAAAGCAATAGAAAGGCTTGGTAATGTTGAAAGCCACAATTGTAAGTTTATACACCATTTTGTAATAATGGGAGGAGAAGTGAACATGTAGATGGTACATAGGATCTTAAAAGAGCACATCAATGTCCTGTACCTTTGCTCTCTTTTCTATCCCATTATTTGTAATTTAATATTTCATTTCATACTGTTAAAATTGATTTAATACCTTCTCAGATTAGTTATTTATCTGTCTCTTGTCAGGGACTAGAGGTGGCCAGTGGGCCGGGTTGGACCCAGCCCACCCTAACTCGCACGGCTGGTGGGTCACGTGGGTCCGACCCGGTTTCAATCCGGCACAGCCCGGCACAGCTCGGATTTAATCCGGGTTGTGTCGTGGGTCCAAAATTTTCGACACAACCCATTTCAACCCAGCTCAGTTTAACCCGTTTGATTCGACCCAAATCGCACAACCCGTTTTGACTCATTTAATTCGACACACCTAGCCCGTGAACCCACCTAACCCGACCCACCTGGCACAACCCAGCCCGCACGGCCCACCCGCACGAATGACCCACCCAACCCGCACGAGCCAACCCACCTAACCCGCACGCATGACCCACCCAACCCGCACGCATGACCCACCCAACCCGCACGGCCGGCACAACCCGCACGGCCCGCACAACCCGCACGGCCCGCACAGCCCGCACAATTCGCACGACCCGCACGGCCCGCACGGCCTAACATCCATTTTAAAAAAAAAAACGGCTAGTTTTTTGTATCTAACGGCTAGTTTTTTGTATCTAACGGCTAGTTTTTTAAGTGTATGATCATCCATTCTATTTTTCCTATAAATACCAATTCCATTTCACTCAAATTTCCACACAAATTCAAGCTTTCTTTCTCTCTTACTTAAAAATTCTTATTGTTCTCAAATTCTCAAGTGTTATATAGAGTTATATTTTTGTTAAAAAAAATCTCCTTAATATTATTATTAGTATTCTTAAGATTCTAAAAAAAAAAAGTTCTTCTCCATATTATAATTAGTAATCATACAAAAAAAAATGAGCTCAAGAGGAGGAATGGGAAGGAGTCAAAGTGGTGGTCGAAGTGGTAGCCAAAGGAGTGGTGGTGCAAATTTTTCGTATGAAATTAATACGGAAAATTTAAACCAATTTGTCAATGAATATGGAGATTATGGTTTAGGAGATAGGCAAAATATTCAAACGTCTCCACCACAACATTTCTCCCACGAGTCCCACCAATCATCAAGTTCAACTATGCCACCTCCATCGCAACCAACATCTCAACCTTCATCTCAAGGTAATTTCTAATTAAATTTTTATTGTTATGAATATTTAAAAAAACTATTATTAATGATTATAAAGTTAGTTTAGTTTCCAATTTTCTATGATTTACAATTAGTTAATTACCATGAAAAATGCGTTTAAATAAGTATAATTAAAATATTTAAAATTTAAAAGCTTATTTTCATGAATAGCATTTAAAAATTAATTTTAATAATTTGATTTATGAAAGGTGGTGGCGGTGAAAGTAGAGGTCGAGCACATTTTTCTTGGGTGTGGAAACATTTTGAACGAGTTGAGGTCACACCCCCGGGATGGCAACCTGGTCAACCAAAGAGGTTCACGTGTACATGCCTAGTTTGCAAGGCGCTAGGTGCAAATGTCAAGTCATATAATTGGAAAACGGGAGATGGAACCGGAACCTTGAGTCGGCATTTGCAAAATAAACACGACTTGTTCGAAAATGGCCCCCGTCCTTCGGGGGGTGGCGTCCAAACACAATTGGGTGGATACATGAACCAACCCGGCGGAGGTACACCTTTCATTTATAATAAAGATAGAATGATTGATGAAATGAGTACTTTAGTTATTGCTAATGAATACCCTTTTAGTTACGGTGAAAATGCAAACGTTGAGCATTTTAATAAAGTTGCATTACAACCTGCATTTACTCGTGTCCCCCGAAATACCCTAAGACGTTATACACAAACTTCTTATTATAAGTATAGGAGTGGTTTGATTGAATTATTTCGTACTTTTGATGGTCGTGTTAGTTTTACAAGTGATACATGGACTTCTAGTTTTGGCGAACCTTTTCTTTGCATTACTGCTCATTGGGTGGATGATGATTGGTTTATTCAAAAACGTATACTATGTTTTCAAGCTATGGAAGAAAGGCATACCGGTTTTAACATCAAAGTTCGTATTTTGGATTGTTTAAAAGAATTTCACTTGAATAATAAAGTTTTTTCTTTGTCTCTTGATAATGCAACTGCAAACACAAAGTGTATTGACTATTTGAAAAATGACTCCGAGTTGAATTTGTTGTTGGGTGGTAGTCTCTTGCATGTTAGATGTTGTGCTCATATTTTGAATTTGTCTGTTCAAGAGGGTCTCGCTGAGTTGCAACCATTGCTAAACCCAATTAGAACAGTTATAAAATGGATTAGGATTACTCAGTCAGTTAGAAGAAAGTACATAGCTATGTGTAAAGAGAGAGGTCTTAAGAAAAGACAATGGTCTATTGATACCCCTACCCGTTGGAATTCTACTTTCAAGTTGTTGAGTGATGCTATAAAGTATCGTGATATTTTGACCCAACTTTACAATGAGACTCGTGTTGATCCTACTGAGTTAATAACCGAAAGTCATTGGACTAATGCTTCTTTTGTTCGTGATGTTTTAAATGCTTTTGATAGTGCAACTCATATTTTCTCTTATATTTATGAGCCTAACGTTCATTTAGTCATAATTGAGTGTGTTAAAGTTGTTCACACCATCGAAGAGCATATGAAGATTGATGGACTTCGTCCCGTTCTTGATAGCATGAAACGTAAGTGGCATACTTATTTTAGTGAATTTCCAATCATTTATGGAATTGCTGCTATTCTTGACCCCGGTGTCAAAGCTGAAGGTTTGGAAAATCTTTTAGAATTTTATTATACAAGTTTAAGTATCGATTATGATGTTAGTGAATATATTAACAAATGCAAATCTGTTTTGGGAGACCTTTATGATCATTATGCATCTATTTATGGTTTTGATTTGGCAACACCAACTACTACTAGCACTTCCGATTCTAGATTTGGTTTTCTTGATAAAGTTATGAAAAAAAAACACAAAGCATCTACATCATTCTCATCATCATCTTCTTCAACACTTGCTATTAATGATTATTTGTCATATCAACATGAGACCAACAACAACTTTCAAATTATAAAATGGTGGCAAGAACATAAAAAAAGTTTTCCTATATTGGCGAGAATTGCAAAAGATATACTTGCAGTTCCCGCTTCATCTGTTGCTTCCGAGTCTGCTTTTAGTGCAGGTAGAAGAGTGTTAGATGAAAAAAGATCTCGCTTAACTCCGGAAAGCATTCAAATTTGTGTTTGTAAGAAAGATTGGGATCAAGCTGAAAGAAGAACTCAAGGTTTAAAGGAAGACGAAGACGATGAAGATGATCCTGTGATGATATTGGAGTCGTCAACGGATGATGCAGCTTCCGGGGATGATGATGCAACAAACATGGGTGGCTAGAAAAGTCTAAATCAGGTACGCTAAGAACTACGTGGGCTTTGATTCTTTCGGGATACGTAGGCAACTTATTTTTCGAAAATTACAATTTAATTGCAAAATTAAATTTTAGTTTTCTAAAGATAGGTCCAAGCCCCCCCCCCCAAATTTCAAAAGAAGTACAATATAAGAACTACGCTGGCTTTGATTCCTTATTTTATAATATAAGGATACGTAGGCATCTTAATTAAGAGCAAGCCATCAAATTGTTAATTTTGTAAAAATTAAAACACCACACAACCCACCCGACCCTAACCCACGAACCCACCCGACCCTAACCCACAAACCCACCCGACCCTAACCCACCTAACCCACAAACCCACCCGACCCTAACCCACTAACCCACCCGACCCTAACCCACCTAACCCACAAACCCACCCGACCCTAACCCACTAACCCACCCTTCGACCCACCCTAACTCACTAACCCACCTTGACCCGTCTAACCCACGAACCTAGCTCGACCCACCCATGACCCGTCTAACCCACAAACCCAGCTCGACCCACCCACGATCCGTCTAACCCACAAACCCAGCTCGACCCACCCACGACTCGTCTAACCCACGAACCTAACCCTGGTGTGTCCAACTTCTCCGACCCAACCCACGACCCGGCCCACCCTACCCTACGTGTGTCGTGCCGTGTGTCATGAAACCCCAACCCGCGACCCACCTAACCCTAACCCAGCTCGCACGACTCGCACGGTGGACACCTCTATCAGGGACTATAGAGCATCTGAAATTTCAGACTTGTCAGATGAAGAAACTTTGCAATGGGGAAAGTTTTCTTAAGTGTTTGATAACGAATTCTAAAGATATTGCTGAGTTATCTGATTTTATCGAGTGCAAGCCATGGAGAGACTACAATGCTCGTCTCTTCTCAAAATCTAGAATACAGTGCAGGAGATTGCAAGAATCTGCAAGGCATCTGCGGCTGAAGAAGACGCAAGTTCATAATTCCGTGAAACGTGGAGGCAAAAGGAAGTGTAAAGGAAAGTCTGTAAAAGTACGAAGTATTTAAAAGTGAACGTGTATAGGTGTGCGTATCTATGTATAAATTTTGATATAAAGATTTACCTGGCAACCTTCTCTTATGGAAATATACCAGTTGATCCCAAAACATAAAGGTCAAAGTTATGTCCTGTCTCTACCTCAACATCATTAACACCATTAAGAATATTAGGACCGGCTTGCTAATCTAGTTGCTACATAGATCAACAACACTTCATTAAACAATATTTATTATCCTAACTAAATCCTAGACAAATCTAGTGACAAGTTCAAAATCAATCCACGGGGACTATGTTAGATGATCTAGATATTTACGGATTTAAATATTCCGTAAGATCAAGTGACTGAAATACCTAGGTTGAGGCCGCTTCTGACTAGTGAGTAGGTAGATCTTCCTTTAAGTTGAGAGGTAGCTAAGCTTAGAGCTATGTTTCCAGGCTTAGATATGACATAAGTTTAGAGACCTTTTGGACCCTACATTCACAAAATGTGATAAAATTAAGGTTATGGGCACCTTTTCTCTTGATAATAATATAGTCCTTTGAGTCTCTAACTGATATTGTAGTCCTTTAAAGTCCACTAATTACTAATCTTGATCCAATTTTGACTAGTGGATTACTTGTATTCATTAAACTTCCTATTTAGATCAAACTGTAAAATTAAGGTGTCTATTGTAAACAAATTTTTTAATGTTGAAAATTGAGTTTCGTATGTATGATCTGCATGGTTCGAGTTATTGTTTTGGTATTGTTGTCACTCATATGATTTGTACCCTTTCTTATATGATTGTTCCTCAAAAATGTATCCACGAAAATTTTTATAACATGTAGGCTTGTAAGCATGTCACCATTCTAATAGGAAGTAAGTCCAACTTTTATGCTAATAGGCACTTGTGAACGATTTTGTTACATATCGAAGTTAACTACTAGGTGCTTTACAATATACGTAGTTACACTTTTACTCACCTCAAAATGTTTTGTACCGTACAACAACTTTGTCTTTCTATATGCATGACTTTGAACCTCTTTTAACGCATTAAAATGCATCCTGCATCATACATTGGCCACATTTATACCCTTCTACTACTCACTTGATCATTTGTCATGGTTTAACTAAAGCTCCGAGGCCGGATGACATGTCTTCAATTTTTTTTTTTCAAAAATTCTGAAGTTTTGTTGGAAAGGATGTGACTCATAAAGTCTTGAATATTTTTGAATAGGGGGAAGGTGTATGTCATATAAATCATATCTTTCACTACATAAGAAATCAGTTAATCATAACTCCTTTTGTCTTCATTTGAGGAGGTAATAGTTAAACTAATAAGGTAAAAAAGGAATAGTTAAATAATATCTTGCACCCCATAATTCTTTCCTTGATCATTTTACTAACTAGTTTTGTGTCCAATTCGAGTTGTTTATTGAAATTCTAAGATAAACTTTTTATCTATATGCCAAATTTTAAAACATTTAATTGATACAAATATGTAAAAGGTGTGGATATCATATTCCTCAAGTTGACAATTAAATTTAGTTTTTTCTTAGGTGGTGATGAAGCTAGTAGGTGCCTTTTCCCCTACCAATCATCTTTGTTTTGTTTTGCAGAGGGGATTATACATGGCTTTTGGGTTCTTTAGATGCATTTCATGGTTGTATAGCTCAAGTTAGTGAGATTGAATTTTGGGATCTACCCTTCAGTTTGTTGAATTATAGTAATCTATACTATCTATACTATTACTTTATAAAAGGAAGTTGGAATGACATGTGTCCCCTTCCTGTTTTTTCTGATTAAAAAAAATATATTTAACAAAAAAAAAAAAAAAAATTAAATAAATAAATAAAAATTTACAAATACCTTAATTTTCAAATTAACTTTATACATGAAAATTGATCATGCCTTTACAAAAAAAAAAAAAAAAACACTAACTTATTTCAAACTAACTGTAGATTTAACTTTAACAGTTATTTAAAAAAAAATTGTGTGAATAATGTATTCTCAAACTTACAAAGGTGACGCTTCAGTTTATTTTTAAAATGTAAATACAGGGATGCACTACTACAAAAAAGGCAAAGAAACCTGTTCAAATAGGCCTAAGAGACCTTCTTAGAGGCGGTCTCTAGGTCACTGATCTCTTTGCTAAAGATATCTGTTCAATAGAAAAGGTCTCTTTGTAATTAATAAGAGATCTGTTGAGTAAGGGCTTGTTTGACATCGTTTTTTGTTTTCAGTTTTCTGGTTTTTTTAAAACAAAAGACCAAAAATAGGAAACAAGAAAAAGATGTTTCCACTTTTCTGTTGTCAATTTTTAAAATTACAATGAATTTAATAAATTTGACTAATTTTTTTATTTATTGTATGACATATATCATATGATTTGAAAACCAAAAAACCAAAAAACAGAAAACCACAGTGATACCAAACAAACCCTAAGATAACAGGTTTCTTTTCGTGTGCATACATTACAAATTCAAGAAGGGAAAGAGACCCGTTATTTGATATAATAGGTCTTTTTGGTTGGTATGAAAGAGACCTGTCATAGTAAACAACGGGTCTCTTTCTTCTTTTTTAAAACAAATAAAAAAATAAAAATTCTCATGGTATCTTTAATTATTATTTTGAAATTTGAATTTCATTCCACTACTAAAATTGGCGGAAACACAATAAATTACACAAAATTATTAACTTGCAAAAACATATTATTGAAATTTAAAAGAGCAAATTACTACTTTACACTCCGTAACATTTACAAGTAAGAACTTGTGTAAATAGATTTACAAATTTACAATAACTTAATGAATAATTTACAAGCAAGGGGTTACAAAAGTTTACAAGTATAAGTACTCCATGGTGCATCTTTTTTTTGTTTGACGGGAACTCCATAGTGTATCAATGGCGTAAACTTGTAGTTATGAAACGCCTGTCCAATAAAGAAAGTATATTGATAAATCGCGCCCGGTATTTACTAGGTAACGTCCGTATTTTAACACGACATTACAAACATGCCCCCTTTTAATTTTACCCTAACTCTTATCCTAATTTACTTTTATCCCTTATAAATTTACCCTATTTTATTTTACCCCACTAGCCACCAATCAGCCACCGCTATCAGACAACCACCAGCCACCATTATTCATAAAAAAAAAAAACTTTATTAAAAAACGATTTACACAAGCAGTGAATGGACGATTTTGCGGAATTGACGACGCCACCGGAGAGGTCGCCTGTGAGTACTGATGAATTTCTATAGTTTTTTTTTTTATTTCGTAATTGCCAGAGAAACGCCTGAAAATTTAGAATCTACCATGGTAGGAACGCCTGAAATTTTAGAATGTCCCACGGTAGATTCAAAAATTGCAGGCGTTCCTCACATTGTATTTTCAAATGTTCATAGGAACGCCTGAAAATTTAGAATCTACCATGGGACATTCTAAAATTTCAGGCGAACCATGGTAGGAACCTGAAATTTTAGAATGTTCCATGGTAGATTCTAAATTTTCAGGCGTTTCTTCCATGGTACATTCAAACAATTCAGGCGTTTCTTTGGCCCGACTTTCTTAAATTCCCACCACCGGCTCTTCCTTATTATTATTATTATCGTATTTATGTCGTTGATTATTATTATATTATTTTATTTTTATTATTATTATTGTTGTTGTTGTTGTTGTTGTTGTTGTTGTTGTTGTTGTTGTTGTTGTTGTTGTTGTTGTTGTTGTTGTTGTTGTTGTTATTATTATTATTATTATTATTATTATTATTATTATTATTATTATTATTATTATTATTATAGGTTCTTAAGCAGTTTGTTTTGTGGTTTATTTTATATAGGATTCGGAATCAGAAAATGGTGGTGATGGTGTGAATTATAGTGGCCATTTTCAAATCGACACAGTGTTTCCTAGTTATGATGCTACTGTTGAATGGGCAAAAGAAATTGCCCGGCCAATTGGATGTATATTCGTCTCATCATCGTACAAAAAAACCACCGATGGTCGGCTGTATCGATATTTGGCTTGCAATCGTGGTCGGAAGAAAAGGCCAAGAGATTTGGAGAATGTGATTCGCAAGGACACTAAAACCAAGTCCGTCGGGTGTCCTTTCTACATCAAGATTTATTACAAGAAAAGCACCGATGGTTGGAGGATCTGTGCTAAAAATGATGTAACCGGCACCCACAATCATCCATTCATTGTGTATCCTGAAGGTCATCGACAAATCAGCGGTCTTAGTCCAGGTGCGAAGCAGGTTGTGCGTAACTTGACAAGGTCAAAGGTTGCGCCTCGTAATATCATGGCAACCATTATAGAGCAATTTACTGAAGATCATCCAAACATCAGGCATATATACAATTGTACAAGTGACATCAGAATGGAGGATTCTGAAGGAAAAGGAGTGGTTCAACAATTTCTGCATTTGGCTAGAGAGAGTCACTACATTTATTGGGTTATGACTGATGACATCGGTGTTTTACATCATGCATTCATGGTGCATCCGATCACGTGCAACTTGTTACGCACATATCCGTACGTGATTGGTATGGACTCTATGTACAAGACAAACAGATACAACATGCCATTTTTTGAGATAGTTGGGGTTACACTGACCAATTAGAATTTCCTTGTTGGATATGTGTTCATGAGAAGCGAGACACATGCTAGTTATTGATGGGTGCTTCAGAGATTGAGGGATTTGATCGGATACCAACTGGAGCCATAAGTGTTCTTAACTGACCGTGAGCTTGGACTTTGTGTAGCATTGAAAGCCGAGTTTCCTCACACTGCGCATTTACTTTGTAGGTGGCACATTAATAAGGATGTCGAAGCTTATGTGACTGGATTGTTCAAGGAAAGGACGGTGGGTGCAAAGTTCAAAAATGGTAGATGGAAACGAGTCATGGATGCTGCATTTGAGCCGGAATATGAGTTAGCCTTGCAGAGATTGAAAACAAGTTGGGGTCGGTATCCGAAAGTTGTGGATTACGTTGAGAGTACTTGGCTTTCCCAGAAAGAGAAATTTGTGACGTGTTGGACGAACAAAGTTATGCACTATGGTAACGTTTCTACATGTAGGGTTGAGAGTCAGCACTCGGCGGTCAAGAGTTGGATGGAATCATCGACAGGTTTTTTGGATACGGTATGGGCTCGAGTGCATTGCCAGATTGGAAATCAGATCGTTGGAATACGTAACGCTTTGGAGGCTAGTAGATCTAAAGTGGGTTAGAAGTACAGGCACATGCCGTTGCAGCGGCTTAATGAAAAGTTTCTCATCATTGTCTTTCTGTTCTTTACGATGAGACGAAAAGAATAAGAGAGTTAAGTTACGAGGTGCATGTGCGTTGCGGTTGTGCTCTACGGATCACCCATGGGATACCATGTGCTTGCCAGATTTATGATTCAATGCGTGATATGAAAGGGTTGTATTGCAGCCAAATTCATCCATTTTGGCAGAGCCTTGTCATTGGTGATAGTGTTGATATACCGGAGTTCGTCGATGAGTCGGCAGAAGAAGCAGCACTTTTTCGTTCCCTTGTCGATGAGGTTTTGGCTAGTGACCCTGTTATGGTTCGGAATATTTCTCACATCATTGAAGATGAGCTGCATCCGAATCATTCAGATCTTAGAGGAGCCGGAAGTGAATCTCTCAACACGAGGTGGATCACAGGATCGTTCTACTAGGAGTGATCGTAGCCATTTCGAGAATGTTGAGCGTAACACAAGCGGTCGTGGAGGGAGAAGGTCGAGACAACATAATTCAGGGAAAAACCGTTAAACTGAATCCGGTATGTTTTATTTTTTTGTAATAATTTTTTTTATAACATACATATCTATTAATTGTTGATTTATTTTCTACCAATTACGAATGTGAATTTTTAGGAGGAAATGGATTCAACATTGAACAATGTAGGTACGCTCACTTGCTCCCAGGACCTATATTGCCTTACATAACCGGATGGAATGATGTCATTGGTGATAATAATTGCGGCTTTCGTTGTGTTGCCTTCTTCTTCATGGGTGATCAAGAGAAATGGAGATTAGCTCGACAAATCATGGCTAATGAGATCACCGGTTATCCACACTTATACAATAGGATTTATTATGAGCCAGGTGGTTTGGATTTTGAGATACAACGTATTCATTGGAGCGGTGGCCCATGTGGGGAAAGACATTGGATGGTAGCCTTTCAGGATTTGTATGTAATTTCTACCTTGTACAATGCAACTGTGATTTGTTATGGCATTGGATTGACACCGACGAGCTACTATCCTTGCATCACTGTGTTACCGTTGCAGGCCCCCGACAATGCTACTGCACCAGCTCGAGAGTTTGTTATAGGTACTGTGGGTGGGTCGCATTTTATTCTTTTACAGCTTGATCAAGACCATCCGATTCCCCCAATTGCAGATGTTTTGTACCGGGCTCGTGAACCTAGTGTTATTGGATGGGAGCAACGATACCAGCGTAGAATTAGTTTGTGGGAAAGATTAGTTGCGTCATGATAGATGTAATGCGTTGTTCAAAACTTAAATAATGATGTTTGAATTTTTTATTATTATTATTATTATTATTATTATTATTGTTATTATTATTATTATTATTATTATTATTATTATTAGTAAAATGCCATAAAAAAAACACAAGTAACACTTGCAATATTTTAATACGAATAATAAAAGTGTCCCATTACAATAACCAAAACAAAATAATAAAAGTGTCAAACCAATAATTAAAGTGTTCAACTAAGAATAAAGGTGTCTAGCTAAACACAAATCATAACCCTCGCATAGCATCCCAATCACGAAGGGCCTGTGCAGCCATGGCCTTAGTTTCACGGGACATGGGCCCATGTGACTCAGCAAGTGCACGTTGTGTGAACTCAACGAAGCGACCAACCCACTGCAAACATTATAGAATGTTAAAAAATCAATTAAATTTCCAGATAATAAATACAAAACTAAAGGAAAATATACTTACATAATCAGTGTTGGTCCTCTCGAGGAGACCGCTGACCTGAGGTACGTCAGGGGGGTGATACACGAGGGTGAGAGTATCTCACCAACCATGGAATGTAATCGTCCGTGTATGCAGGACTGCCGCGACTGAGTCTAGTGTAGCAAGCCACTGGTAGACAATACGCAGCAAATGGAATAAAGCTCTCCCACATGTGTACGGACGTCTCAGCCGGGAACTCAACACTATACATCTTGACCTTCTCAGGCCTAATAAGGTACCTAGGTATACTCTGTATGAACCCAAGCTGTCTGACAACTCGATCGGGTATGTACGGCTCAATGATGCTGCGGTACCGTATAAATCCCGAGAACAAAGTCGTAGGAACAACACTGGCTGGGTCAGGTCCGTAAGGCAGCCAGTCAACCTACATAATCAAATAATATATTAGTCACATAAGAGTAAGGCGATACGAAACACAATTAATTAATGAATTTCATATTTACCTCAATGTCAGTCAACACGTCAAGTCGAGCACGAAAAGTAAAAAGCCGATCTGAGGTTTTCGGTGGCAAACCAACATCCCATAGCAATGCACGCACACGTCCAGGCTTCCTGGTCAGAGTGCCTTGCTGAGGGCGAAAGCATGGAAAATACTCATAAATCCACGCTTGAAGAAGCGTGAGACAACCAGAGATGGAATCACAATCTGCCCACGAGGCTTGTATTAACTGACGGTACAAAAACGCTAAAGTAGCAGAGCCCTATGAGTAGGAACTAGTGACAAATGTACCATCGACAGGCTGAAGCTCATGGATGAGTGATGGATGAAGTCTGTTACCACTCTTGTCCACAAAGAGTGATGAACCCAGTAAAATCCACATAAATGCCACCACAGAAATCTCAGGGGGCCTCTCAACATTGAATGTCGTCTCGACGACCCTCGAAGAAAGCGCGCCACTAGGCGCATAAGTGGGTTTACGTAACTCCTCAATAGGAAAATCCATCATGAACGAGCAATACTGTCGTAACTGTAGGGGGTCCATAACAGTAGAAACCATAGTACCATCTACAGAGATCCCAAGAATATGATACACGTCATGTAACATGATCGTCATCTCACCGAACGGCAAATGAAAATTGTTAGTATCTGGCTGCCATCTCTCCACGAACGCTGAAATCAAAGGCCAGTCAAGGTGCTGATAGAGCTGTCAATTCGGGTAAACAGGTCGGGTTTGGGTCGGGTAAGTGTGGGTCGGGTCAATTCGGGTCGGGTCATTTCGGGTTAATGTCGTAACCTATACGGGTCGGTTTTGGGTTGGGTCATGCTTGAGTCGGGTAACGACGGGTCATACATCTTATCGGGTTTGGGTCGAGTTTAGATCGGGTTAATAACAGGTCAGGTTACATTTGGGTCGGGTGAATAATAGGTCGGGTTTAATTCGGGTTTTCACGGGTTAAAACGGGTTAGGGTCATTCTCGGGTTCGATTCGGGTTCGGTTCAAGTCAATAATTTGCGGGTTATAATCAGGTCGGGTCATTCTCGGGTTTGAGTCGGGTTCGGTTCAAGTCAATAATTTGCGTATTATAATCAGGTCGGGTCATTTCCAAGTCGGGTCATTCTCGGGTTCAAGTCGGGTTCGGTTCAAGTCAATTATTTGCGGATTACAATCAGGTCGGGTCATTTACAAGCGGGTCATGTTCGGGTTCAAGTCGGGTTTGGTTCAAGTAAAAAAATTGCTAGTTATAATCAGGTCGGATTATAATATGGTTATAATCCAAGTCAGGTCATTTTCGGGTTCGGGTTCGGGTCTCAAATATTGGGTTAATCTGGGTATCGGGTTGATTTCAGGTCGGGTTCGGGTACGTTTTTTGGGTCGGTTTGTTAACAGTTCATGTAATGACATTCACGTTTAATCATTATCAATTACTTCATTTATTGTAAGAGAAATAATTTCAAATAAGTTTAAATTCGAGGTAATAAGTTCTAATAAGTTTAAATAAGATCTACATAATAAGTTCATATTAATTCCAATAAGATAGGTTTAGTTTAGATTTTTAGAAGATAAGTTCAAACCCTATTCTAGTCTATTCACATTGATTCCAATCATTTTAGGGATAACAATTTCAAATAAGTTCATATTCGAGATGACATGTTTAGATAAAATACAATAAGTTCATATAAATTCGGATAAAATAGATTTAGTTCAGATAAGTTAAAATACAATAAGTTTTTTTTTTCTAAACTTATTTTATTTGAAAGTATCTAAACTTATTTATTTTTTATAAGTTCATATCCGAGTTCACGTTTTTTTTTAATGGCATTTTTTTAAAAACATTTAAATAAGATTAAATAGGCAAATGAATAATAAAATTAGAAAAATAAAAGACCAATAAAAGCCTTTTAACAGCTCTAGTTCGGGTCACCACTTTCTCGAGTCCAGACAAGTCAAGTCATGATCGGGTACAGGTAAATGATTTGGGTCAGATTATCATCGGGTCATTGTCATATACTCATGCTCGCATTCAATCATTATCACATTCAATTCAAACATTATCCGAAATTATTATTTCTTTTAACTTTTTTTTATTTGAATTTTTTTTTTATTATTTTTTTTTATTATAAAATATAAGATAAAACAAACAAGCCTAAGATCAAATAGTATTCGTAAATCGTAATTGACTACATTAATGCACATGCACCTACAAAGTAGTAGTATTCGTAAACCATAGTTGCTTAATTGAAATATAGAATGAACTTGCACCTAAAAAGTAGTAGTATTCGTAAATCCTAATTACTAAATTTAAATAAAGAGGCACATGCATCCAAAAAGTAGTGGTATTCATAAATTTTTATAGGTTTTTTTGAGACATATAAATTGTAATACATTTGATAATAGAGAATTTTATTGAAAATATTTGAATATGCTTAAATAGGAAAATAACTCATAGAATTAGGGAAAAAAAAAAGAATATGATGTAATCCTAGATTGCTAGTTAATTTCGGGTCAATAACAAGTCGGGTTGATTTCGGGTCGGGTTAGTGACAGATCGGGTTGAATTTCGGGTCGGGTTAGTAATAGGTTGGGTTAAATTCGGGTCGGGTTAGGAATAGGTTGGGTTGATTTCAGGTCGGGTTAAATTCGGGTTTTGACTGGTTAAAATAGGTTTGGGTCAATTTCGGTTCAGGTCGGGTTCGGTTCAAGTCAATATTTTACGGGTTATATTCGAGTCGGGTCATCTCCAGGTCGGTTCATGTTCAGGTTCGGGTCATCATTTTTCCGGGTTTAGACGGGTCGGTTAATAATCGGATTCGGGTCGGTATTTCGGGTCGGGTCAGCTTTTGACAGCTCTAGGTGCTGATACATAATGCCAGGAAGATGTGATAGCCCGCTCTGATCTATCGGGGCTAATGTCTCTTGTAATAACGACTGTCGCAACTGATCCAATGCAGTGCACATCTTTCTCCTACTCATACATCTCAAAACACCTCGCTCCACACCACCCCAAATCGCAGCTGCGACATGACCACCATAGCTAGGAATGATGCTTCCATCCTCTGGACCGCCGGCCATCGGCGTAGTCACTAACCAGCTGTCCTGTACCGGAGTCCGACTACGACCAGTCTCCTAAGTACTAACAAATCTCCCACCGGCACCCCTATACGTATGAACAATGTCATCAGGCTCCTCCTCGTCATCATTGTCATCGCCTGATAAACCCTGACCTCCTCTGTACGAGTACTCGGGGCCCGGTGACTCAGTCTCCTCATGCTCAGACTCGAAACCCGAACCCGACCTAACCCCCTGAGACCCCGAATGATGATCCTGTGCCTCGGAGGTCGAACTCGCCATGCAACCATCGGGGACTGGTGCCGTCTCGGTGCGAGGCTGAAGACGATAGCGGTCTCTCTCCCTCCTAACTGACGCGTTCAAGCGCCGTGATAAAGCGTGTCATGTTCCCGAACCCTCAATCTTAATTTTTTCAAAAGAAAATAGAAATAAGCTAAACTTTAGTTCAAAATAATAATAATAATAATAATAATAATAATAATAATAATAATAATTTTTTGCTTTTCATGGAAAACAAAAGTAATTATCCAACAAAACTCCTACTGGATCAACTATGTCCTACAAACCCCTGGAAATTGATCGAGTTTTTTTGTAAAAAAAAAATTGATAAAAAAATTACCCATACAGCAGAACATCAAAGCCAAAACAAGCAAAAAAATCCCCCTATAGCTCTCTACTTACATGATTACATTGATCCGAGTAAACATTACAACTAAATACACACCTATACATTAGCACAAAAGTTCCAATTCAATGCAACTGCCAATTCTCTCTAAACCTGATATCAATTAAGTACTTTGGAGCAAGTCTACCTGATGCTAATTATAATCCTAAGTCCTAACTCATAGTTTGTGCAGATCAACCAACCATTCACAGCTAATTTTGCAAAATATGAGTAGCATATGCAAATTTTTGATTCAGTTACATTTTCAGAGTATATCATAGAAATACATTATAAATACTACAATAATAATTCATGAAAAAAACAAAAAAAAAAGCACATCAGTGCTGCAGTTTGTGATTAAAAAACACACACTGATTATTGTAAGCAGAATTGCAGAAAACTTCAAATCTACGCTTCAATGAGTAGTCCTTGTAAGTTGTAACTAAGGACTAGTCACAAAATGCACTGCAGAAGGATCAAAGAAATGGCAGCACAAGTTTTTGGACAGTAAATCCCCTATCTCACTTTCCAACTTACAGTACTAGTCTACTAGAGAAACAATGGCTGAAATTAAGGTTAGTAATATTATAATAAATCAATTTTACTAAGCATCCACACATATTAATATATTATACTAATTATACTCTCTGTCTATAACTATGCCAAAGTCTACATTTCAATATTCTAGATTTTTGTATTGTTTTCCAAACAGCTGTAGTTATGGATTCAATTCTTTGTCACCCAGACTCACTCAATAATAAAGCACCACATATATCCTGGGTGAAAACTATTCAGGACTAAATCACCATATATGTAATTCTTAATTCGCAATTTCAACTAATTCATCAAAAAATTGCTTACAGGGGGGACCGTCAATGTAGCCATTGGTATAACACTCACAATATTGCCCTACTAATCTCAAGTATGCACAGGGGTTTATATGATAAAAGTCACCCTCCATTCCTATTTCATAATTAAGAATTAGTCCGACAACCAAAGAAAAGAATGATTCCAGGATTCACCAACCCATTTACTGCAATGACAACTAAAGAACTCCAGCAATGCACTCAATAGCAACCTCAAAGTGAGAAGATAAAGCCGTTCGTGGTTCGCCTAGAATTTTCGAATGAACCCCAGGAGATCCGAAATTTTCGGGCGTTCATTCGTGGTTCGCCTG